TTAAAAGCGAATTGCGGGTGCACGCGAAAGTGGGAAACAGTTAGTGAATGTAGTAGCCTTCGACAAGATCTGTTATTGATGGTTGAGTCGAAAGTGGCTAATAGAATACTGATCTGCCACACAAAAATGCGCTGAAATCCCTTCGATCTCAAACGAGGACTTTGATAATTTTTAATGAATGATCATTGTTTGAGTTGATGTGACTTTTGTTATTTAACAAGTTTAACAATTTTTAGTACATCCATTCTGAAAATTGGATGTAAAATAGACGAAGCAAATTTGTTTTAAATTTGTCGAACTGTAATTAAGTAGGTACATAATGAGATTTGCATTTCAATCCAAATATTGTAAGTACCTAATATTACTTATTTGTCATATGTGTTTAATTAATGTAGGTATTTGTTGCCAATATTGAATATCTTGACCAATGTTTAGACCGCATCTATTTGTTCAATATATTTGCAAACTGCTGCATTGCTGATTAACCAGATATATAAATCGAAAATGTCTCTACCAGCTATAGAGTTTGTGTCTTCCAGAAAAGGTAAGAGCATTCGTTACCCATATCCACACTTTGTATAGTAGGTATATTTTATAGATGATTTTCATCTTCGTTGTTATTGCGTCTTTCACACTTCTCTTGTATCTTCATGTTACAAGGAATTTCCATTACTGGAAGAAAAGAAACGTTCCGTACCTGGAACCGACGGCGTTTTTCGGAAATTTCTTTCCCGTTTGTTCACGAAAACAAATGATTGGAGACTTTTACAAAACAATTTATAACTCAAAACGAACAGAATACGTGGGATTTTATACATTTGACCAGCCGTGTATTTTAATTCGCGATCCTGAAATTATAAAAAATGTGATGATTAAGGACTTTCATAATTTTACCAACCATGCTGTAACTTATAGTAAAGATGACAAATTGAGTGCCAACATGCTGTTCTTCACAGCAAACTCAAAATGGAAAACGTTACGAAGGTACTTTAGTACTACTTATTCCTCGGCCAAACTAAAAAACATGTTTGGGACCATTGCCGAAAGGTGCGATGGTGTGATCCGGCACGTGGATGAAGTTAGTAAAAATGAAATTGACTGCCGTGACTTTGCAATGAGATATGGGGTAGATGCGATATCGGCGTGTGGGTTTGGTATAAAGGCCGACGCCCTTCAGAAAGAATCAGCATTCTTTAAAATGACCAAACAACTCTCAGAAATGGCTACAAGCATGGCTGCATTTTTCGTTGCTCCAATACTGGTGGAGGTCTTCAAGCTGAAGTTTTTTGAGTCTCAAGCGGCGCATTACCTCAAAGATATTTTCGTCAGTATTACAGAGAAACGAAAAAAATGCGAATACGTCCAAAGGGGCGATCTGATTGACGTTTTGCTCCAGTTAGAACAAGATGGCCATAGTGTTGGTAAGTAAGCCCCAATAAACGAGTAAATCAAGTTTTCTAATTTTCGCATTTCAGATGAAAATTTAATTGGAGGCGCGGCAATGCAGTTCCTTTTCGCTGGGTTTGAAACGACAGGGACGACAATTAGTTTTGCTCTCTATGAGCTAGCCATGAATCGCTCCGTTCAAGAACGCTTAAGGGAGGAAATACGGTCACTATGCGGTGGCAAAAATAAGATTTCTTACGAAATGATAAGTCAAATGGGGTACTTAGATATGGTATTAAAAGGTAAAGGGAATATTATTTAAAAAATACCCATTACTGAACTTTCAGAAACTCTCCGAAAATATCCGGCATTGCCGTTCCTGGACCGTCGCAGTAAAGCATCCTATAAAGTGCCTGGAAGTGATTTAGTCATCGACAAAGGTGTAAACGTTTATATCTCTTCAATCGGGTTGCATTATGATGAAAACTATTTTCCAAACCCGTATAAATTCGACCCAGAACGTTTCGCTAGCAAACAAAATCCTTGGGTTTATATGCCCTTCGGGAATGGACCCCGAAAGTGCATAGGTACGGATATCGTACTTATATTACGATTAGCGTCAACCGAAAATGTTTTAGGAAGCAGATTTGCGGAATTGACTGTGAAAACGATTTTAGTTAAATTGTTGCTGAACTTCAGAGTTAAGCCAAGCCCAGAAACTCCTTACCGCATAACATTCGAAAAGAATGGCGTCCTACTGGCACCAGAAGGGCGTAAATTATATTTGAATTTTGAACGCATACATCCAAAATGCACTTGAATTATTTATTAAAATAAAATTTTAATTCATACTAGTTTAGTACCTTGCTTGCAATCTATTTAAGTGTTCTAAACGCTCTGTCAAGATTATAGTAGACAAAGATTACTTGGCGGTTCCTCGAAACCCAAATAAGGGTTTATATAGGATTGTCAGTACCTATATAGTCAGAGATAGGAACGATGCCCACTAGTTCTAGTTATATTGACAGAATAGCAATTCGGTCCTTAAAAAACTGAACGGACGAATCCTATGTGGTTGAGGCGCTTTTTTTCATTCAAAAAGTGTATTACACGGACCTGCATAACTTACTAAAATTAAAAATAAATTTGATTCCTATCTGCGCCAAATTATACGTTCCCTCTGTAGGCTTGAAAAAATGAGTAAACCCCAAAATCACCTATTGGGCTCTCCTACTAAAATAAAAAAATTAGTATGGGGAAGCCCAATAGGGGATTTTGGAGTTTACTCAAGCGCATAATGCGTGTGGCTCTGTAATTGGGCACAAGCCTGTTAAGGCCCCGGAACAAGAGAGGCACAACAAATAAATAAATCAGAATAAATCAAAGTGGGTTGACTGCGTGTTGAAAAGTGTGCATTTCAATTTTCAATAATTTTAGCGTGACGTGATTCAAAGGAAATTATTTAAGAATAGCAGAAATAATACAATCTGCCGATTTCCACACGCCAGCAGTTGAATCATGTCAGTTGAATGAGATCATAAGCAGTCGTGTCATAAATTATAGGTTTCTACTCTTCCGTACAGCCTCTCCCACCATACAACCCGGCAGATTAACATACCTCCAATATCAAAGACACGATGGGCATATACACTATCAATGTCTGACGCGCTCGAGTATTTTCCTGTGGCTACGTTTTTTGTACATTATTAAAAACTTTTTTTCTTTCTACCATCTAATCTACAAAATTCAGTATGTCCCTACAACGCTCGAGTTAATCCCCATTTAGCATGTGTACTGTTTGGAACGGTTTGCACTTTCTCTTCAGTTAAATACATGATAAGCAAAACTAATTTATAAACAAGTAGAAATTTAATAACGGTCAAAGGCAAATAATGAAACGTGATTGCTGTTTTTTTAGGACCTTATTCCACAGCATACCGTCCTGATTTATTGTAAAATGGACCCTTAATGAACCTTTTTATTTTGTTGATTTCTACGGCTTTGAAAAACAAAAAATTATAAATAATAGTAATATGAACAGAGGCAGTATTTTTTTCTCTAAAAAACGTGTTTAAACTTTTGCTGTAAAATAATTAGGGGAGCTAGTAATTGACTATAAAGAAATTACCATTGAAATCCCTTGCGTCGCCCTAGGCGCCACCCTGTATAAGAATCATATTGTGCCATACATGATTGATGTATTCGTAATAAAAAATGCTACCATTGAATAATTTCAGATTTATTATTCAATGATGCTACTCAATTCAGTATGTACTGTTTCCGGTCCATATAAAAATATGAAGTTGATGATGGTTTCTCAAAGACGAAACAACCCAATGAAATTCTGTGGGAATCATCTTGTAAAGCTTAGGTACAACGAGAAAGTGTAATTTGTTTTTTGATATCTTTTCAAACAGAGCCAGACAAAAATAAAAACAAATACGGTTAATTTCGTTTTTTTTCGAACATCTTTGGAACTGAGCGGAATTTCCGAATTTTTAAAATACAATTTTACTAAGCCCTAAAATACGTTCCGATTTCCCCATGCTGTTCATTCTTTTCTTTTCGTATAAAGATTATACAAGTAGATATACACCATGACATACAAAAAGTGTACAGTCATCTATTGTAATTTCACAAACTGTCTTGATATGTTTATCTCCCGCAAACATCAGTATAGGTATCGTTAGACTGCAGTTTGAAACGTTAACACCTTAACATAATGAAAATTCTTATAATTTTGTATCGGTTATTCGGCATTTACTTTCTCAAGTCTTCATCTGGGAACCAATTGCGACTGTTAAAATTGTATTCCTATGTTTTAAATTTAATTTACCTAATATTTCTCGCATCTAGTGTCTACATTATTATCGATTATGAAATTCTAAACCGTAAAACCTCGTATTGCTTAAAAACGTTAACTTGGCACATCGAACGTTTTTCGACTTTTGCCCAGTTTCTAATCGCGAGAGTTATCATATTAAGAAATAATCGTATTGTGCATCTGACTTTCCAAAATTTAAAATGGGAGAAACTTTCCAAAGGCTTTAAATTCTATTTAATTGCGTGTATCGTCTTGACAATTGCGACGGTATTTTCGTTTGAAATCGGTAACGAATTTGAACACCTTAAAAGTAAGATATTCTTTGTTTGTCGGATGGTACTCCGTGTCATATTAAACCTCGATTATATTTTTGTTTTGCTGTACATGAAACGTACAACACAATATTTGGCGCAGATTGAGTATGGCGTTACTACGGATGTTGCATCTGCGATATGGAAATATAACAATTTGCACATGACATTAATGGAAGACGTCGAGTGCTTTAGGAAAATAATCACTTTTATGATCTATGTGGTTTTAGTGAGGATATGGTCCTCTGTATATAGTGTGATTTATTATTGGATGACGAACGAGGACACAACCATAATTTCTGTATTCCTAGCGACTGTTGTATGGCATGATATCTTCAAATTTGTTGTAGGTTTAAACTGCTGCGAAGAGGCCTTTGAACAGGTATATTTGGAGAGTATTTTAGGCTAACTAAATGCTAATCGTGTAGGAAAATCGCATCAAGATTAAAATCTACGAAATACTTCACACAGAGTGCAGTCAAGAAGTGCGAGAACAGGTACTATCATATACAGTGATATTTATTAAGAGGTAGACATATATAGGGATTTACGTGTATTGTTTTTCTCAATGTCTACTTTTAAATCCTAAAATCTCTTCTGCGGGGCGCCTAATTTTATGCAACCAAAATAACTTCTAAAAACAAATAAAGATCTGGGTGCCATATTAATTAATTTGAATATTGTTGCTTTGGCACCACAGAAAATAAATCCCTTACGCTCCCCGGTACTATACCAATTGACTTTTTCTTCAGTTGAATACAACGCACACGAAGGAAAATAAAAATACGGAAGCCAAAGCAACAATATTCAAATTAATTAATATGGCCGCCAGATATTTATTTGTTTTAAGAAGTTATTTTTGTTGCCTAAAATTGTTAGGCCCCCTGCAGAAGATATTTTATCTTTTAAAAGTAGAAATAGAGAAAAACAATACATAAATCCCTATATCTACTTCTTAATAAATATCACTGTACTTACGTACTTACTTTAATTCAAACTAACTTGTGTATGACTCATCTCAAAAAAACTTAGGTATGTGATATTAGTTAATTCGGACACATACACAATATACTTTGAATTGAACCATATATATAGTACTTACGACATAGCTTTATGGATAAGTGATCGACCCATTCCATTGGACATGTCCATGATTGTCTGGAATAATAACATCATTAATAATAATAGATCTGGGTTTCAAGTAAAAAAATTATTTGGAGAACTGTTGACATTTAGCCTCGGCCTCGGCACATTATTGGCAAACTTGTTACCCACAAAGCTATGCTGAATATAATACAATTATACACATCGTACAAAATTATTATGAAATATATTCCGTTAAAGCTTAAAATGTTATCCGTTCACATACTACTAACGAATATACAATTTCCGGGACATGGATTCAAACTCACGATGGCTTTACTGTACAAGGTACCATATGATCCGCGTGTCGAAAATAATTTTCGTAATTCTATTTTTTTAGGGCCTAGGTATCATAATGATATATTTAATTATCTTAATGCAGTTTAAATCCTAATCTAACTAAGTAGTTTTTCTATGTATATAATGTATATAAATATATATCTGTAACTATATACTTATCTAATTGTATGTATTTTTTTCTATTTTTATTTATTATAAATAAGTGTAAAAGTGTTGGCCTCTGGGGATGATATATGCGATAGTTCGGACATGTTTAATTCCGAGTATTATGTTCTTTTCGTTAGAAAAAAAATTTACTTAAAGGTAAAGAGCATTCTGATTTTTCACCAGAGGCGATAACATTGAAATAAAGATATTACACCGAGGATCTGGTTGATTTCAGCGAAGAGAACAGTCGGTGTAATCTGTTCCGGAATTCCGAATCATGCAATCCAACCCTTGGTACGGACTCGGTGGAAATGTCATTTATGGGAATAGCTTCTGGGCAATCCGTGAAGCGGTCGATGCGTGTAAGTGCGTACCTACGTGTATCCTAGAGGAAGGGGACAGATAAATTCATGCTTGTACGTGATTGGAACGTAAAGATTCCAACTGGAATTGACCTGGAGGTGATACGGTGTGGCGATGAATCTTGGAGCTTTGACAATCGAGACACTGGGCGCCACCAAAGCTTGATGTGGGATTTCATTTTGGACCATACAAATCGTTGACAGATTAAACTTGTTTTTCTAGCAATGGGGTGTGACATCTCAATGAATCTTGTTGAAAATCAACGTTCGGAATTGGGCTAGAACCTCTTTGGTGGCACAGAGAAGTGATGGTTAACCGAGAAAAAGTAGCCCACTAATAATTAATATAGAGGATGATTCAAATGAAGATGATATTTTTGTAATTGATGATTCAGGTTAAGTTTTTCGGTTTATTCAGATATCAACCCCAAGATTTGAAGTCAACAAAATGGCTGATGAACGGCGCCTGCGGTGTTTCAAAATTCATGGAGAGGTCCGAAAGGAACTCGTCTCCGGTAAAAAGGCTAGGAGGTTCGATTTTTACTAAGGTTTTTGTCCCGAAGAAGGTTTTCCTGCCATCGCCTGGTTGTGTGTGTAATAATTTTATATGTTCTCGTTTTTTATTACGCACAAAATGTTGAGTTTTTATTCAATTTCCTTTCCCCTTTGTGTATAAAAAGAACCGTCAGATTTAATACCCACTGATTCGAAAGTGCCGCGATTCGCAAAACCGTATACTATGCGATCAAAAATGAGTGTTGTCCAGTCACCTTTGGAATTTTTGTTTACATGGGAATCGTACTTAGACCATATAGTACATGAGCTGCTATTAGCCCTATGCTTTCAATACAAAATGGATGGTCACGGATAGAGGGCACTGTAGTCGTGGGTATGTGAATCTCAGGGTAAACTAAAGTCGTATGAACACCACTCGGATTGCGTAAAGAGTAGCTTTTATAGTAACCGCGTAGTACCGGAAGCTTTAAATACTCTTCATTATTTCTATACGTCCACAATTCACAAATAAGAATAGGTTTGCTTTTTTTTGCCATATCTGGGCAATTAATTAATTGACGTTTGTTAATTTATAGGTTGACAGTCTCACATCGTGTCTCATCGGACAATTTCGGACAGACTCGTTTACCCTGAAACGCACATACCCAATCGATGTCCTTGACTGTATTATTTTTAGTTACAATTAGCAGTCCATGTACTATATGGTCTAAGGAATCGTACCTTTACTTGAACTTCCAAAGGCGGCACGACAGCAACTCATTTTTGATCGCCCGTTATAAGGTGTGTATACAATGATGAAAGTAACGGGTGGCCCTGCTCGTGAGTATGTATAGGGTTTTCGCTATAAAAAGCGTTGCACGTCATCAACAGAAGAAAATGGCATGCCAATTTAAATCAAGATTTGGCGGATTTATATTCATTATTATTTAGTTACTTTTTGGGAGAATAAGTTGGCAGATTCGGAATTTTTTTTACAATGTTGTCAAACGTTATTTGTTGACATTTGACACTTTGGTTCGGTTTTTGCCATATATACAGTGTGAGCAACAATGATTGAAGCGTGCGTCATCACCGCTTGTTCCTATTAATATCAAAACTACCTTCTTTGTATGGAGTTGTATACGAAAATGACGTTCTGCGCTGTCACGGTGACGTGCGTCTATTCGTATTTCGTATCTTGTATCAAATCAGCATATGCTATGAGCGGCACATTGCCAATTTAGCTGAAGCGGCACGCTTCAATCTTTGTTGCTCACTCTGTATAAGAGAAGTATATGGATAACCGCCTATGATTGCAATGTGCAAATTGTTCGCCATAAAAGAGAGCTGCCCTATTCCTTAATCCTGAACTCTGTATTTATGCGCAAACTCCCCAAGTAAATATTTACTTGTCTCCGCCTACTTTTAAGTAGCGCCAATTTCAAATTTCATAACCTATAACTCGAAAATAGGGTTAAAATTTTATTAAACCATTATTGTGTGCAATTACCATATGTAAACACAACCACGCACCATTCGGAAACTTCACCCAGACTTCTATTCGCTTCATGCAGGTTCATATTCACCACATTGGCCCCATTCCACCTGCCGACTCCTATCACTATTGTCTGATCCTGTGATGTCTTTAGATAAGTATACTAGGTGGCCGAGGCCCACCCTCTCAAGACCAATCGCCGCCGAAGCGTTTCTTACCTGTTGACTATATCGCTTCGATTCCCCTACTAGCATCTTCACCGATCAGCGACGATAATTTGAATCTTCCCTTTTTTGTGCCCTCAACATTGTTTTCGGCACACAAGGATTCGGGACCTGCAGTCAATGGCCTACTTGAATGATTTCACTGCCAACTCAAATCAGCGCTCACGTGCCACCCAGTGCGTTCTGGTTCAAGGTACTCCATATCGTTCTGCTTGGAAACTGTAGCATTTTCACATAGAACTTTCGAGCCTCCTCAGCGGAGTTTGTTTACGGTTACACCCTTCAACTTCGAAGGCAAACTTTGTAACGATTTAGAAACTTAAATTGCAATTGAAATAATACACCTATAGGGATTATATCTTGAATATAACATGAAATTGGATAAGTTCGCATCAGCTATAAAGTGATACATTACCAATGTTCAAAGAAACACAATTAAATTAAAGACATTTACTGATTTTAAAATAAAATTAACATTGTCGAGTTGGAAATCTTTTAGGTCTTAAGTGACCCCCATATAACTTCGTGCCGCCATCATGCTTGCGTGCATCCAAATCAATGCAGTCATAGCGGTTAAAATGACGAGAACACAACCTTGTTTTTACATCATCGAATTCCGATAGTTCACATGCTTGCAGTCACCGATTCTTGTTGCTTTTTTCACTTGGGAATCTAATAACAAGTATGGCATAAATGAATTGATTGCAGATAATTGCATTGTAACTTACTTGTGCCATGAAACCGAAGAATCCACTTTCCCACAAGTACCTGCATTTCTTTATTTCTAAGTAATGAACACACTAAAATTGCCAAACATTAGGTATTCCTTTACAATTATTGTGTATCACTTACGTATACTGATTTATATAACTACGAAAGGCTTCTTTACTATTAAAATTAAACAAAAGTTCAATAACTCATAAACAAAACAAACAATTTAACCTCAATCCGTTATGTCAAACTGGAGTAAATACTTGGTAAATAACACTACATAATAACAGGCAAGCGCATTAGCGCCTAGTTCCCAACTAATGACAGAAGTATATTTCCATCCACTAACGTTGGCGATAGGCGTGTCCACTCGTTTATCCATATACTTCTCTTATATATATGGTTTTTGCACGTTGAGATAAAAGGTCTAAACTCCGTACAATCTGCGCATGCGAAAGAAACGTCAAAGTTCAGTTGCAATTTGTTATTAATTAAAATGTAGGTTAGGTTATTGTTTTCATCACAGGCTATTATAATGAATAAACATATTCGTAATGTACATTTAAACTAGCAGACTTTTGAGGTTGTTATACCAAGAGCCATGTTTCGCTGCAGCAGTATAAAATCCGAAAAGGACAGTATAAGCCCCATGTTCACAAATCGTAACCCAAGACATTTCAAATACCTACGAATCGCTCATAAACCGGACGGCTGCTACGGTGATAAAACTGGAACGCTCCTACTGGCATAAATATACAAATTTGCTTTCCTACCGCCTCCAATAAGACAGCCCGATTGTAGATGACAACTGACACAAACAGGCCGTTACATAACTTCATTGTTCGTGCATTACATCAACGGACCCGACGCTCACCGCTAGCACGAAGGAATGGGCCATCAAAACCAGGCTGTATAAGACCATGTACCAAGTCGTTGGCGTACGTGAACGTTACACGGTCACGTCCCTGCATTCAATTTAATGTTTGCTACTTGTAGGTTTCAGTTCTTCGTACAAAGATGCCTTGCAAGCGGTCCGACAGAGTTTATGTGCGATTGCAAACCCAAACACAACGTCAGTAAGGTCGCAAAGTTTCTAATGTGCTCCAAGATTTCAATTTGAAATTGCCAATTCCGAGCCAATTCACTATAACTAAGGTGCCCTTTTTATTATTGTGTAGTTTATTATTATTTAATGTTTAAAATATTGGTAAGCAATAAAAAGTTTACATATTTATTAAATTTATTGTTTTTGAAACCCATTAACTTCTTCTTAAAAAATCAAATAAACGGTTTTTCATGCAATCTAGAAATTAGTAATAAGCACCTTCTTTGGAAGAACCTTTGAGTTAGAAACAGGGAAGCATCTCGAGAGACTGAACGTAGGGCTTTCTATCACTTCATTGGAGCGACCCAATACTCGGCTTTCTCTTTACAGAAACTATGGAAGCACAAGTACAGTGAAAAATGGGCAACTAGCTTGGTGACTTTGGGGGGGCTTGAGGCCCCGGGTAAATAGTAATAAAGGTATACGCAGATCGGGGGGTCTGGGGGGTATGGAAAACCCCCCAGGGGATCGGGGGGGTCCGGGGGTCCTCCCCCGGAAAATTTTTGAAATTTTGGTAGCTTTATACGTGTTTTTAGACTAATTTACGTCAAGCGCAAAGAAATCTTTGTAGTTGAAATGAGAATAATAGCAGGTAGAAATGATACTAGTTTGTGTCTGTTGAGAGAGCTAAATTTGTGGCATTGTCATTGTTTGTGACCATTGGGTTTTGGGGGGGCTAATCTTGAGCCTGGGGGGCTAAGCCCCTCCTAGCCCCCCCCTAATTGCGCCACTGGACGCAGTCAAAATGCAAAAGAATAGAATTTTGATATCAATTTGAATTTTGATTTTTAAAGTTCCGAATTCGAAATTTTCGAATTGTTTTGAATCACTATTTTCAATCATTCGTGATCCAAGCACTTTCAGTTAATCTTCAAAGCTAGAGTTTAGTTGATCCCAAATTCTATTTAGCAATGTTTTTTCTGCCGTTTCTTAGTCATCGTATTTTAAGCGTCCATTTACTCCGTTCATTATCCTGCAAATTATTTTTTTCGTAGCTTTCCTAGAGCCATTAATATAGTATATTCTGTAACAAGGTTGGAATGGAGAAAGTCAACGCGAGTGGGGGTTCCGAGCGCGAGCCGAAGGCGAGCGCGAGGATACACGAGCATTGAATGTCCATTCCAACCGCGTCGCAGACTATTCTTTCTCCACGACCGCAAGAAATAAATTAAATGCAAGAAGGAATAAGAAGGAAACTTTAATTTTTATTAATTGTGATATTTATGGTATTCTGACAATTATGAAAGTTGAGAATTGGTGTATTACAAATGTTTGCTGTAGAGTTTTCCACAACTGCTTGATTAGTGGATGACGAGGACACTGTTGTGTGAACGTTGGAACTTGAGGGTACAAACAATGAATCTGACCCAATGACTGAAGTCACGATCTTACTGGCGACGTTAATACGATTTTGTAGCGAATTATCCACGTATCCTTCCGCACCCTCCGACGACTTCCCCCCGCCATGTCTTTTTAATGTTGTGATATCCGCTCCTGCATCTACTAACATAGTAGCCGATGTACGGCGAAAGCAGTGACCGGTGTAATTTTGCGGGTTTTCTAGATTAAGGAAAGTTGCAATTTGCTTGGGCATATTTCCCAATTTGTTAATCCCAATGACTTGCTTCGTACATTTTCCTTTTTGATAATTCACAAAAAAGTTATCAGAGGGAACGTCTGCCGGTCTTAATGCAGCATATTTCTTCACAATATTGTAAAATTCACCCGTTATTGTAAATTGTCTTGGTGTTTTGGTTTTTGTATTGGGAATATCAAATAATATTGCAGAGTCTAAATCCTTTATGTGTGTCATTTTTATGTTGTAAAGTTCATTTTTACGACAAGCTCCAGTAATACCAATCACAAGGGCTACCTAGAATAACAAGTTTTCGTACAATAAAACTAATTAATAATTCTCTAAAAAATGTACCTTTGTTGCTAAATATATATCATCCGGAGCGGTTTCTAAGAATTTCTTTACATTTACTGTCGTAAACACGGTTGATTTTTTTGGTAAGTACCCATCTGAACTGCGTTTTAAAAATGCTCTAAGCTTCACAAACTTAGAAATATCAACGTCGTGTTTTGCATTGAGCGTTGCTCTCATCATCGAATATATTTTCCATAAAGTTGACGACTTCCATTTTTTTGCCAAATAGTGGAAAAAAGCCAATAAAACGTTTTCAGAGAAAGATTGCGCTTTATTTGATTCTCTCCAGTCCATAAAAAGCTTGTAATATTTTTCATATACATGTCTTGATTGCTGTGGTAAGAGATTTTCTACTACATTATTGGCACATTGCGTAATTTCAGGTGGAGTATTTGGAAACTCTATATTCGAATCACTTGATTCACTCATTTTAACGTTAGTACAATTATTGTAGGTCAACTTTGCACTACAAATTTTTTGACGTTTAATGAAAAACAATTATTTCAAGGCTAACGTATTTTGATCAAATCGAGGATCAAACTGTTTGGAATATTCATTCCATCACTAGTGATGGAATGAAATACATGCAAAATGCATAAAAGGGAAGTATCTTTTTCACTACTAGCCTATGATGACATAATTATTAACTGTTTTTTTCTCCTGTAAAGTAGACTTCCTCGGCTGCTTTTGAAAGTTGTTAATAATGAAATAATTATTAACTAGTTGTCAATAATGCGAGCTGTCCCGCTGTCACTTTTAGATATCACAACCCTCAACTCATAAACTCTCATAGACGTTTAGACAGGTTTTTTTTTACAATTTGCAACTATCTGTTAATTGAGGAGAGTTCCAGTACGACCACTGGACCACTGGATATATCTTCAAAGCAAGATTTAGAAAGTGTGTATATTATCCAAAATTATAAACAGTTTGCTACCAATTTACGTAGGTACTTTAAATTTGTGGTCAGTGGTGTACTTCTGCATGGTGAAGGGGAGCATATTTTTTTAATGGCAACTAGTTTTCGTTTTCGTAGAGAGTACAATTTTTTGGATGTAGCAACATAAAAAACTTATTATATTACAATTACATAATCAAATTCAAGAGAAAAACTCAAATTAAGGAAAATGGTATCACCAGTTTACGTTAAAAAAATCTTTTTTTTTTATTGACAATTTATTTGGAGGTACATCAACCTTTGTTTTTAGCACCTTAAAACTACATTATTATTTTAATTATTTACAGTTTATTAATCAGGGTGGTCGCTTTAAGGTAATGGACTGTGGCAGTAAGTGTAGCGGAGTCATTTGAATTTAGGGCTTCCTGGAGGTTGTTTGTTAGTTATGTCAAAGTATTCATTATATCATATTTATTGTATCAAAAATCATTAAATATTTATAAGTAAATCGATATGTTTAAAAATTATTTACAGTGGCGTGCGTCTACAAAAATAAGAGGATCACTTTTTTATTGGAAAGCACTTTTTTTCGTGAGGTACTATTAAGGAATGAACCTTTTTTTTAATACGACAACATAAAAATCATGATCAAACAAGGAAAATTATAGAATTAATTAAAACAACTATTTTCCTTAATTTGAGTTCTTCTCTTAAATTTGATTATGAAATACAATAAGTAATATGTAACGAAACCAAACTAGTAGTTGGCATTAAAATGTTCCCCTTTTGACAACACATGACTACTTACGCCAGTGGGCAGAAATTTAGTGCACGCAGATTGGTAGAAGATTTTTATAATTTTTGATACCATACAAAACGTTAAGAAGACGTCTCTACCTTGGTATGTATGTAATATACTATTATGGTAGACCTTTGATGGTTCAATTGAAATAAATCTATGATTCTTTCATTAAGCCACCTAACTGGGTGGACCTCGCAAGATTCAAAATTATTCTCAATTAAAGTGTGAATTTGCCTCTTCATTAGCCACTTATCTCTTCGATTTCATCTTTCTTGTTAATTCCCTTTTTTTTCATTTTCTTGCGCCAACTTCTGTATTCCCTACCTGATTTTAAATTTTTTTTAAATAAATGACGTTTAAGCTAATTTTCCCATTTTCCTGAGTTTCCATTGCTCCTTCAACATTAATTTTTCTTCCCCGTGTTATGTGGTCTCAATTCCACACCCAAAGGATTGCAACCACAATTTCACCTACTATCCTACTGCCACCTTTGCACTTTTCTCCTGTGTTTTAAAATCTTCGTCTACATCCTAAAGGTTTCAAGACTCCATCCTGCTTTCTCTTTTATCTGCAAACTATACACAACCCTGCAGACCGATCTTTACCAAGCTCCGCATAGTCCCACTACCCTGCCTATATATCCTGCAAGTGTGTAAAATTATATTTAAAAATAAACATCCACTTCTACATAATTGTGACATACACAAATACCACACAAGAAATACTAATGACCTCAGAGTGCCACGAGGAAGAACTAATGTCAATCAGTCCAGTCCCTATATTATAGGAGCTAAAATTTTCAATAGCCTGCCATTTACCATTAAAACGACCGACAACTTCCATACGTTCAAACGTAATTCTAGTCAGTTTTCTTTTAGACAAGATGTTCTATAATGTTGAAGAACTGTTAAATGATCCTGGTGCATCTCGGTACGTAGGAAACCGTTAATTGTATTTCTGTGTTTGTTTCATTTTTTTTTTTTTAATATAGGGTTCGACTACCAAGGTCATACCCCTTTATTGCACGCTATAGAGTACAGGTACAGTTTGTTTCATTGTTTTATTGTATGTTTGTACTTATACTCATGTTTGACTCTGTCCTATACATCTCTATGTCGAAACGAAACAGGATAAATAAACATTATTATTATTATTCTATTATACCAATCGCATTCTTTGTGCAATTTTTTTCTGAAATTTCTGATTATTGTCTATATTGGAGTTTAGTGTTACGTATTTCAAAAAATTGCATACCGAATCCCAAATTGCCGTTTTAGATTTTCATGCTCTAAACAAATGTCAAGCTGCAGAGTCCTTTTTCATTTGCTAATATTTGCCGATATTTCTTACGCGAAACTAGTTAATTATATTTTTTTTAAATTAGAATTTTGAGCATCGAATTCGAGCTAGAACTCGAATCAACAAATTTTGGATTTCGAATTTCCTATTTTTAGTCTCCAATTCCTAATTACGAGTTTTCAATGTCACATTTGCGAATGTAGAAATAGGAATGGGTCGCCGTGAGTAGCCCAACATCTGAACTTCGCCTTGTTAAATTGTGTGTGTGGCATGATTTAATAAAAGACTTTATTATTATTATTATTATTATTATTATTATAGAATTTTGCATTTTGCATATCTGACTGAGTTCAGAATTCCGAAAATTCGAAAGAATTTATTACACAACTTTTGATTAACACCTGAAATTAATGTTGGGCACGAATTAAAAAAAATCTGACATGAAAACTCTATTTGGGTCGCACAATGGATTCGAATAAACACACAATTCATTGATTGATAATGAAAAAAATTTATTCTGAGAGACATGAACAAAATTAAAACAAAATCCCTGAAAGAAAGAAAAGCGTAGAAAGCTTGTTTTGACATATTACCGCGCACGCAAGCGGTCGACAATTGAAATAAAAAAATCTTAAAATTACTTACAGTTTTTCTTTCCTCATATTCGGCGCACTTAACTCACAAAAACACTTGCTTCGGGAAACTTCACTTTTTATTGATAACGCAGAACTTGATGACAAATCCTGGCTTGTTGAATGAATTTTTCGGTAGCTGTTCGGACGGTATATCGTTCTTTATTCACGTGGCATTACTACAAAAATCCACTTTGAATAATTTACCTAATATCAAGGAGTTAATAAAATTTTTCGAAAATGACATTTTTCTGTTTTTCGACCATAATTTCTCTATTTGTAGAGCTACAAGAAACTTTGAAAGGGAAAATAGTCGTAGTAGCATAAAATTCGGCATAGGTATCTTTGTCCATTTAAACGGCTTTGGATCTCTTACGGTTTACCGTTTATGAGATCCCCACAGTGAAAATGAAGCAAAACTCGCCCTGTATAATACGTCAAACGGCTTTAAATCGAATTTAATATATATTTAATTTTAATATTTGTTAATGGTGACAGGGAGCTCATCAGGAGCCAGGGTCATAGCCTACTGGTAAGCTGCTAGTCGTGAAATGAGGATTAAAAAAGAAACCTTGTCAAATTGCTCTGCGGTTTTAGAACATTCATGTAAACGTTAATTTAATGTAGGGAATTATACCGCAAAAATGCTATTCGGTCTTCTGTGTTGCACAGCATTTTGTATATGGGATAACTTATCTGTCCAAATTGTCCTACCACGAAAAATTACTTTCAGATCAACCTATAATAATCTGAAAATAGTAATAAACGCGTAGGTGCTGCACTTGCAGATCTAAAAGAACGAGCGACATATTTCAACGCAATACCATTTACAAGAGCTCCAGGAAATGTAGCAGTAGGACTATTCTATCATTTATTGAGTAACGGAAATTTAAATTATGGCGACCTGCTATTTCATTTTTGCCTCGTTCGCGTGGCATTAGCCTTTCGAGAATTTCATACCTGTATAATATGTAAAACGAACATTGTTCTCGAAATACTAAAGATATTTATTTAAAAAAAACGGAATTCTCGTTATCGCAAATTTACGGTATCCAACTCCCATGGACGGAGAGAAACAAACTTCCTTATAAAATATTTTGAAAAATAATATAGTCGATACACAAAACTTGTAAGTATTTGTAATGGATAGACATAAACAATATTGTTCCTAATAACAGGCGGATAAACTTTTAATTTATCGTCTATTGGATTATGATTATATTATTTGTCTATTTCCAATTTCTGCATCTATAATGGATTTTAATTCGTTTGCAGACCGGTTTATCAGATGTTTTCACTTCGTAACCTATAAATCGTCCTCACAATCGCATTTTAATATCAAACAGAATAACATTAAAGAAATACTTGTGATCGGGATAGAGATAACGTTTAATAATGGATCTTTAAATCACTTTCGTTTCAATCAGTCTACACGTTTTTTGGGAAAAAAAAGGTGTGTGATTTGACGCCACTAATTTTTATTGCCTCACCGTCAGTAAGTGTAACGATGGGAAATTGTATAAATTTATACAAGGGCCGCATTTCAACGCTTTTAATAGATGTTCTCGATCCACCATTAGGAACAACAATCAATTACTAGATTTATGGCTGTACCCCTCATTTACCTATTCTGGTACGTACAGCAGCTCGAGGTGTCACGGACCGGTGTTGTACGCTTTGCGCTGGAATTTTAACAATATAAATCTGTGCATGTAGTTATATGGGAACAGAAAAAATGATCGCTTCCGCACTTTCACAGATGCTTAGGAACGTATCCCACGACTTTGATTTACGGCCTGCATTTACAGGTGCGTAATTACCCGTCTTAACCCTATTCTGTACAATGCTCAAATAACGAACCCTCTGTGTTCAACACACAATTAGACGCTTGTATTGCTTTTACAATGGCGTGTTTAGGCAGTCCTATTAGGAGAAATACAA